GATAGGAAGGTGCATCCAGAACTTAAAGGAAAGTTCTATAGAGAGGTGGTTAGGCCGGCCATGTTGTATGGTGCAGAGTGTTGGCCAGTCAAAAATTCTCATACCCAAAAGATGAAAGTTGCAGAGATGAGGATGCTGAGATGGATGTGTGGGCACACTAAGCTAGATAAGATTAAGAATGAAGATATTCGGGTGAAGGTGGGCGTGGCTCCCATGGAAGACAAGATGCGGGAAGCTAGGTTTAGATGGTTCGGGCACGTGAAGAGGAGAAGCCTGGACGCACCGGTAAGGAGGTGTGAACGGCTGGCCTTGACGGGTATGAGAAGAGGTAGAGGGAGGCCTAAGAAATATTGTGGAGAGGTGATCAGGCAGGACATGGTGCGGTTGCAGATTTTCGAGGACATGACCCTTGATAGGAAGTTGTGGAGGTCGAGCATTAGGGTTGTAGGTCAGGAGATAGGAGGCTAGTATGATAGTGTTTTAGGTTGTTGGTGGCTCCAGTTGTGGTTAATACTTCATTAGGGTCGTGAGTTAGGCTGTAGTATATTTAGTGGCCCTTTGTGTATATATTATTCCCTCATTAGCCTCCTTGCGACTGTAGTACTATGCTTTTGTTTCTGCTTAGTGTTATTACTTTGCTCTCTATTTCCTGGTTATTGCGTTGCTGGTGTTATCTTTCTGGATTCCTTTGCTGTTACTGATACACTGTCTATTTCCTTCTTGTGCCGAGGGTCTACCGGAAACAACCTCTCTACTCCTCTGAGGTAGGGGTAAGGTCTGGGTACACACTACCCTCCCCAGACCCCACCTGTGGGATCTCACTGGGTTGTTGTTGTTGTTGTTGTTTTAATGAATTTTTGTATATAAATTTTTACTCCGCTTCGAAAGTTATGGATTCAATTGTACCCATAACTAGCACACTCTACATCCGTTCCTAAAACTCATACACTTCAAATTCTGGATCCGTCTCGAATGAGGCTATCATAACTTAAATAGTAAAAGTTTCCGATAAAACCACCTTTCCATTTACTAAACAAAAGCTATATATCTTGGTCCTTCTAGCATAGTGTATACATGCACAAAAAGTATCTCCACTTAAGACCAATCAAATAAGATATATTTCTTTATTCTCTTTATATGAATTATAATAACACTTAGTGGGATGATCAAAGTTTCACATATGTAGTAGAAGAAACCTTTGGTACAAATGGATAAAACATTATCTTCTTCTACTTGTTCATTTCTTGATTGGAATAATTGGAATAAATAATCTAAAAGAAGTTAAAGTTTGAGATAACGATTTTTTCTCCCTCTTTTTGAACCCTAAAGTTGATAGAGACGTGACGGTATATCCAATACTCCCTCGGTCTCAAATTATCTGTCGTGTTTCTCTTTTACACGTTCCTTAAGAAAATACTCCCTCCGGTCCAAAATAAGTGATTTTTTGGATGTTTTCACAGATTAAGAAATCCACATTTTAGCATTAATTAGCAATGGAATTGACCATATTAACCTTTACTATCTCACATAAACACTCCTAACACATATTCCAACACAATTTACTCCAAGGACAATGTAGGAAAAAAATAATTAATTCATTCTTGAAATCTGGAAAAATCACTTATTTTGGACCACAAGAAAAAGGCCAAAAAATTACTTATTTTGGACCGGAGGGAGTATTAAATAGGATAGATTTTGACTGTTTTACCCTTATCTATGTTTTAAAATATAATTTTTCTTTTCTTTAATATTTAATCATAATTGAGGTGTTTGTAGTTTTCAAAGATAATTATTACTAACGGTAAAAAAGAAAAAAAATAATCAATTTTATCTTAAACTTCTAAAATGACAAATAATTTGAGACAACTATTTTTTAATAACCACGACTGATAATATGAGACTGAAGGAAGTAGTGAGTAATAATGTTATCAATCTATGTACTTAGTCCAAAGTTTTAAAGAAATAGTTTTCTTGTTGCCACTTGGATAAAAGATAGTGAAGAGGGTTGTGGGGGTCATTTTTGGGAAAGATACATCCTCTCTTATATTGAGTGAAGGTTTCTTCTTACAATAGACACGTAAGAGAATAGAACAAAAGAAATGGGTCCCATGGCTTAAATGGGATATATAATTGGTGACAAAATGGACGTGCATGAATTTGAGTTGGAACAATTATCATCAAGTAGCCCACGGGGAATACTTTTGGTTTGACATTTATTATAACAGGTCAGTCCACCACTGATAACTTTCGATTTAAATCGTACGACTTTAAAATACGTTACTATAATCTAAAAAATCTTATATACAATATTTTTCCCCGTTGTAGATCATATAGAGGATTTGCTTGGAATGTCACGTTAATATTATTCTTTTATCTTTCATTATTTAGTAATTCAGTATTCACCAACTTATTCAGATTTGCGTTACGTATTATTTATTGTAATAAGGAAAGTACTTTCTACGAGGGATTTTTTTGTTCTCATAACTCTATACGAGACATTTGATTAAAAATGACGAGGAATATATCTATTCATCGTCCATCACACCTTTGGATGATTAGTAATCTGTTTAATTAAATAAGATTAGTTGCGTATTGATTAATTTGGTGCTAATTCACCACTTCCACTTTTCCTTTTGGTTCTTTGTTTTGATAATACAACGCAATTAATTTCTAGAAAGTTCTGAAATGACCTTATGTGTATAATCCTCCAAAAATATCTAAAGAAGATTGAGGGAAAGGAACAGAGAGGTTGTTTTGGATCATATCTTAAGAGATGTGTTCCTCTTGGCCTCTTAATTATGTGATATTTTGTTAAATCCACAAATGACTTTTGCTTATTTCGGGTATATTTTAGGCGTGACTAGGATTTAAAGTTTATGAGTTTTGGATTTTTACTAAATTTATAGCTCGACTTAGTTACTGTGTTCGTAATAGAATATTTATATATATTTAATAAAAAACTTAATATAAATATATCTTGAGAATACTTGTTTACTTTTTGGAACTAAAGTTACATGTCAGGTAAATGGCTTATTTTTTTTTCTTTTTTTGCTCGGGGTTTGTTATCCGCATTAAAATCTCGACTAATTCAAATTTACACCTTGTAAAGTTAATTAACGGGGAAAGATTCTATCTTTCCCAGCACAACTCTTGATGGTTGTTGTTTTAGTTGTATCTTCTATAAACTTTGGAATGCAATTATTAATAAAAATGATTATTTGTAAACATATCTTATTTGAATAAACCAAGGAATCATAAGCGCAATGATGAGCATTAATTATTTAGTATCCATGTGATGCATCATGGGGTCGACTAACATATCAAGCAACAATCAAATCGAAACAAAGAAATTCTCACAAGTTGGGTGAGAATTAATAAAGATTAACTTATGCATTATTCATAGTACATATATTTTTCACAAGGCCAAAAATTAGTAGTTCTACCGTTTCATTTTATAAATGATTGGGTATGGAATTTAATTACAAAGAAAAATATTTAAAATTTGTGATCTTAAACATATCACGATATTTATATAACTGTAAGATCATGTCATAAAGAACGTTATAGAAAGTTTAATGTTTAATTCTTTGTAAATAAAAATATGTTATTTTTTTAGAAGACTAAAAAGAAAGAGTATCCCATAAATAAAATTAATTAACTTTGTTTTTTTTTCTCTCTTTGAATATTAGTTAAGGTACAATGAATTTGTTACCCGTGATGTATTATTAGCCAAAGAATTTTATGCTCAAACTTTGCTGGAAAAACATACCACGAAGCAAGAATGATGAAGTTCGAATATTATCACAATTTCTTCATTTTATTTGGGAACAAATAACATAAAATAAAAGAAAATGGAAAAAAGCAATTCTCTTAAGTCAACAGAGCTTCTACTTTAAGTAAAAAGATAAATCATCTTATCAGAAATTTGAAAAGCATTATATGAGGCAACTTACTAATTTCTTTCTGTGAAATGGACAATTTTTCAAATTTAAAAAGTTGCAAAAATTTAATAAAAAATCTCAAACATTGAGCAATAATCCAAATGACAAAGATGAGAATACTTCAGCCAATGACACTTTTGCTTAGTGCCATCAAATGTGAGTTTGGCCTAATTTTAATATTTCTATTCTTGTTGTTTGACCAAAAATAAAACATAACCATACTTGAGTGGAAGATAGTGAGGTAAAAGCTAAGAAGTCTAAAGAGATTATTACTTATAATAAAGAAAGACTATGATTTAGTGGTAAACGTCTATTTAAATGAAAGCGCTCCCTATAAGGAGTTTCTTTAATTTAGGACTCGAATTTGAAACTTTTAGCTAAGGGTGAAAGAATCTCATTTATCCACGCCACACTCATTATTGATCCAATATACGAGTTTAAGAATTTGAATAATATTAAATGTAAGAACTTGCTCTGTTTCATTTTAAATAATACTGTTAATATGTTTAAAAAGAAAAAAAAATATGAGTAACATACGTGAAAAAGGATGTATCGAACTTATGATCTTAAACATGTTATCACATTTTTATGATTCGATAAATAAAATATTATTTTAAAATTGAAGTAAAGGAAAAAAAAGAAGAAGATATATTATACTCCATAAAGAAAACATGGAAGGAAGGAAAACGACAATTTAAAGGGCAACTCGGTACGCGAAGCATCCCGCGTTCACGTAGAATTCGAAAAATAATTGCATTCCAAGAGAGTCTGATATAAGCAGCCTACCTAGAGGCGGACCCATGATTTGAAGGTCGGGTGTACTTTTGGATTCAATCAAAATCTGTTTTGTATAGAGGGTTCCCATTATTAATATATCATTATTTTCTAAAGACATATACATGTATATATGAAATTTTTTTGCACTTTATAGGCGCCGATAACCTCTCCCAGCCTCTTGCCTACCCTAATGCAAGTACTTATGACCTATAAATCATATGGACATAACTACTTTATTGTTGTTCCAAGGCAAAAACAAGACAATTTGTGGTGTGTATAAATAGGAGAGACTGTTTGGAGGTGGAACATCATCAGCTTTATTAACACTGTCCCATCTCACTCCTTTAGGATCCTATGAATCTCCTCTTTCAACTCCACCTTTAAAAATAACTCCTCCTCTTCCAAAATCTTTAAGTCTCTTCTACTCTTACAAATTACAATATATATACTAACAAAAATTTGCTGACTTTTATTTGCAAAACTAGAAGTCAAGTTCTTCTAGCTTCTCTAATTATTATTAGGTACCCTTTATCTCTTTCTTTTTTTGTTTTTGGTTCACAACCTCTTTACTTATTTAACTGTTATTTTGAAGGAAAAAATGCCTTCTTTTTCACCTAATTATGCTTGAAATTAGTATGATTTGTAATCAGATCTCAAATTTCAAGATTTGTTATAAATCTTCTGTTTCTGCTCATTTTCACTTGATTATGCTTTCATTTGATGTTGGGTTCTCCTTTTTTTCTTTTTTTGAAACTTCTAAATGATGTTTCTTGGAACTTGGAAATGGTTAATATTATCTTGGATCTTTACATTTTGTTCAATAATAATATGTTCTTCTTTGATTGACTCACTGTTTTTGACCTGCAAATTTCTCTTTGTATATAACTTTTTAATATGTTGCTTTTTTGTTCTATGCAGATTCAGTACATTGAGCTCTTCCAAAAGTTTCTGAAGAAATAATCATCATTTTAACATTAGGTAAACTTTCGTGTCAATTACTTGGCTTTTGATTATCAGGAGATAATATTACTCCCATCGATTTTATGCTGTCTAGTTTTATCTCTGATTACTTAAGTTAAGGTGTTTAAGGCTCTAAATTATGGACAATTTTGAAAAGAATTTAACTTATATACATTGAAATTGAAAAGAATTTTTATACTATCGGTGTTAATTTACTTGTCGTAGTAGGTTAGCTGCCTTTATTTTCTAGGTTACTAATTTCATTAATTGTTGGCATTTACCTGTAGTTATCTTTTAAGTGATTGCGACAGTGTAAAAGATCTTTTCCATCGTCAGTGGAAATAACTTCTAGTTAAATCTGGAGTATTTCTTTTACCTATATAATAGCCCGTTTGGCCAAGCTTCTAAAATGAGCTTATTTTGAGAAGTGTTTTTCTCAAAAGTACTTTTTAAAAAAAAGTGCTTTTGGTGAGAAGTAGTTTGTGTTTGGCTAATTAATTAGAAAAGCACTTTTGACCAGTAATTAGTGTTTGGCCAAGCTTTTAAAAACTGCTTCTAAGTGTATTTTTCTCAAAAGTGCTTCTCAGAAAAGTGCTTTTGGAGAGAAGCTACTTTTTTCTGCTTCTCCAAAACTGCTTCTGCTTCTCCTCAAAAGCACTTTTTTCGTTCCAAAAGCTTGGCCAAACACCTCAATTTTTTGCCAAAAGTGCTTTTGGCCCAAAAAAAAAAGCTTGGCCAAACAAGTTATAAATATGGTGTTTTCCAATGGGGCTACGCTATTACTCCTTCTGTTCAATTTATGCGATGCAGTTTTATTCAGTACGGAGTTTAGGAAAAAAAAATGAAGACTTTTGAAATTTGTGGTTTAAAACGCTTAAACAGTAAAAGCTTTTTTGTGTGGCCTTCAATTTGTGTGATTATAAAAGTTTTCTCATTAAGGGTAAATTAGGTAAAATAAAAAAAATTTGTTTCCAAATATAGAAATGTGTCCTATTTGATTCGGAAACAACCACTATACCTCCACAAGGTAGGGGAAAGGTCTGCGTACACACTAACCTCTCCAGACCCCACTTGTGGAATTATACTGGGTATGTTGTTGTTGTTGTTGTCATTCTGTTTGAAACGGACTTATAAGGAAAGTGTGTCACATAAATCAAAACGGAAGGAGTATATCTTTTGCCATGGACCAATTTAATCTTCCTTAAGGTCCTATGTTTCTGTTCTAATGGTTGATATATTCATTCATTGACTAGGTTCCGATCCAGTATGGGCCTCTCACAATATCCAGCTCCAGCAGATGCCGGAGTACTCTGTGTAATTCTGGTAAACACAGCCATATCTATTTCCATTGTCAAGGAGATAGTCCGCTCGATCCTTCATGTTATCGGCATCCGTATCGCATCATGGGAAGACTATTCTATTGAAGGATCATTTGAATGTCGCGGAAGCCCATCGGAGTCATACATGGAAGAGTTTAGAAGCCGAACACCTGCATTTCGTTATGACTCGGTCTGTATCTCTAACCACTCGGAACAAGAATGCTCTGTGTGCCTGACAAAATTCGAGCCTAACGCGGAGATAAACTGTCTCTCCTGTGGCCATGTTTTCCATAAGCTGTGTCTAGAGAAGTGGCTCAAGTATTGGCAAATAACTTGCCCTCTTTGCAGGAAACACATGATGTATCACGAACAAGAGGACGATACATGTCCGATGTGAGATTAAATTTTTAATGATGCCACTTCATCCATTTGAGGATGTTATTATGTACAGCTTAGTAGTAGTGTACAGGCTGAGTATGTGGATGCTTGATCTTTGGCACGACGTAGTCCTATAGCTTGTTATGTTTTGTGATCCTTTTGCGTCCTCTCTGAGTGACGGGTCTCTTTGTTTGTGACCAAAAACCTATACATTGTTGTACATAATGTAGTCCTATAGCTTGTTATATTTGTGATGCTTTGCGTCCTCTCTGAGCGACGGGTCTCTTTGGTGTGACCAAGAACTTATACATTGTTGTACATATATTACCGAAGCTGTTTCTGATGTTCAATCTTCTACAAGCAAACTAAGGCAATTGTATCTCTCAAATTGCTAGATAAAGTGAAATCTCACATGATTCTGATAGTTTCTTTGTATGAAAATCACCAGAAAAAGGTGAACAAAGAAGGTTGAAAGGAATTTTCAGGTTCAAGTAATATGCATCTTCTTGATATATTTGTTTTTGGTATAAGCTTGATTTGCATATCAAGGAAGGTAATAGAAATAGTGCTTCTCTTTTAACTTTCTTTCTGATGCACTAACAAAGTTAAAAAAGGGCAGCCCGGTGAAGGGCGGGACTACAGGGTCTATTGTATGTGTTCTTACCCTGCATTTCTATAAGGGCTGTGTCTACAGCTCGAACCCTTCTAGTCACATGGTAGCAACTTTACCGGTTACACCAATGCACTAACAAAGTTGCTTCATATTTTCTTCCTTTTGACTGCAGCAACCAAGAAAAGAGGTAAAATATTCCTTTTTCTTTTTGGTTATCTTAAAGGTGGGGGTTTATGAATTGTATAAAAGAAACATGTGCAACCATTTAACTAAGAATCAACCAAGATATAGATACACAACCTATCATTCTTCATCAATTTACAATCTCAGTTATCAATTAACACAGTTCTTAATGAGCAAGTAAAAAGATAAAATATTATGAAAGGACAGCTACAATGCAAATTATTAGATGCTTAATGCTTTCATTTGAAAGAGCCTTAATTGGTGAAGCTACCCTGAGCCGAACATGCTATGAGTCGGTCATTTTCCAGCTATGTTGCGCGAACTCTCCAAAATGCTGCCGCACCTGTGTTGGATCCTTCGAAAATGCACTACTTTTGGAGTATCCGACATGTGCCCGGTGACATTTTCGGAGAATCTGAGCAACATTGCTTTCCAGTAGCCAGCTCAGAGAGTTTCGAGCCAACCGACATGCTAGTGCGAGTCAGCGCAGCGTTCCTATGGTATCTGCACCTGAAAGAACCTGCATGTGTTGTTGGTGAGCACAAGCAGCTGTACTTTACACTTGATGCCTTCCGTAATGCCGACGGTGAAGAAGGCGTCGAGGATGGCAATGGTGGTGAGTTCTTCACTGCCTCGAGGCATATATGTGGTAGATTTAACTTCTTCTTCTTAGTTTGTTCAATATTGTGAACTGATTGTTCAGCCATAGTTGGTTGTGGTTGTTCAGCCATCCTTCAGAAAATTCTGCAGCAGAAAACAGTAGGATAAGTAAAGGATGGATATATGAGGTGAGGTGAGGTTTATCTTAGGGGTATTATTACTTTTAGCCCGCGTAAGAAACTATTTATGTTTGGTAGCCGAAAAAATGTATTATTATTTTAAGAGCGGCTATATAGTGTCATTTTCCCTTTTATCTTATGCATGAATCTCTCTTGTTTCATTTGAAACATCCTACTTCATTGTGGATGACATTTCAAGCACACGAGAATTAGGCCCTTTTTACAAATATGAGATTGATGTACGATGCAGTGACAGATCCAGGAGTTTCACTAAAGGGATAATAAAGTATACACAGGAAGTTTTTGATCTAGTTACACAATGTAATTTTCCGGCGGGGGTGTTAATTGACACTTGGTTCCATTTATGTAGATGGAACTCTAGAATTGAAAAGTCGCGAGAAACATATGAAGTGTATGGCTAAAATACTAAAGAAGTTTTGTGATCATCTTTCTAGAGGGATCAGATTCGTACTTTTACAGGATCTTGTTATGATATCATTCTTAATTTTTTCTTTTTCTTTCGTTTATACTGGAACCATTAAATTCATTAGATAGCGAAACATATCTAGAAAACATAATTTTTCTCGATATATTCTCCAATTGGACAGAAAAATATAAAAATGGGCAATTCGGTACACGAAGCAGTCCGCGTTCACGTAGGGTTCGAGGAAAGGTCGCGCCCCAAGGGCTGTGATGTAGACAACCTACTTTGATGCAAGTATCAATGGTTGATTCCAGGCTCGAACCCGTAAACAACTTTATCATTGCTCCAAAATTATAGGAGGAAAAAGAATGAAAAGAAAATTAAAGGACAGCAGATATAAAAACCAAAACAAAAATGAATAAATCAAATGAATTAAAGAGAGAATTGGAACCCTGAAAAGATTAAGATAATAATACCTGAAAAATGCAAGAGTGGAGAATGATGAGATGCAAAAAGGGGTTAAGTAGATGAAAATATTACATATGAAAGGAAATTGAAGAAGAAAAGAGAGAGGAGAGGAATGTTTTGTATTGTTTAATTAGGACTCTTTTAGTTAATCAAAAACTAATTACTTTCCGTATTTGACTCTTTCTTAGTTTGAGATTTGAGGTTTTTTATCAGATCCTTGCCTCACTCCGAGGTTGATCTCTTTTCTTTTTTCTATACCACTATTTTTCTCTTTTTACTCTTATATTATAAATAATTGTATGTATTTAACTTATACACGCTAAAAGTTTTAAGAATATTATCAGTATATTTAACTTTTTATAGCAGTTACATAGTACCCAGGTTGCTAATCCCACTTTTTACGGACTGTTAATTGTAATTATTTTTTAGGTGATATGGAAGTGTAAAAATTCTTTTCCGTGTATTATACATGTTTCACATCAAATTTAGGAATCTTTTTGTATTGGGTGATACCCTTTTTGCTTGAGCCCGACCGGGTTGGGTCCGGTCCGGGGCAAGTCGGGGCCATCGAACCCGACCTGGATGCAAGGTAGAACGACGGTCACGTCAACAACCGAGGTCGAGTCATTTCGAGACCGTTGCAGAGCTCGATATGAGTCACCACCGGATGGAGAAACACACAAGGTCGAAAGCCGGACTCGTAACGGATAACCAAGCGTCGCCGGATATCTCGCCCAAACGTGATTTTCTCAACCACTTCAGGCCATTAAGGCGGGGATCCACGATGTAATTAATTTACCTACCTTATTTTTACCCTTAATCAGAATGTATAAAAGGGGAGAAGACCCCATAAAGAGGGGATCGGAAACCATTACACTACAGTACCATCTCTCTCAATTCTTGTACGCTATCAAGCACAATTGTTCTAAGCAATATTATATTCTGCGATTATTTACTTTAACAGCAATTGTTGAGTCTTTATCTTTTATTTTCCTCAATCCAAACCTTTTGTATCTTTTAGTTCACGGATCCTTAAAACCCCATATAAATTCAATTGTTATCCGGATTCCAGGGTAAACAGTTTGGCGCCCACCGTGGGGCTAAGGATATTAGTGAGCTCTTTGATACTCTTTCTTGACGCATCACAGTACACTGGTTCTTTGCAAAAGAGTCCATCTTACATTCAAATTACCAACTCATAGAATGGCACAATCAATCAACAACGAACTTGAACAGCAGACAGGAAACAATGGAATGCCCGGGCTCGAAAACCCGATAGATGCCGATTCCCGGATGACGCTCAACACTGATCAGGCCTCCGGATCATCACATAGCGTCCGGGGAGAGGACGATTCGAGGGCCCAGGCAGTCGGCGAAGAGACTATCAACCTTAAAATGATTTTTGACATGCTGCAAGCCCAGCAATCGGCTATAGCTCAGCTCCAGAGCCGGGTCCAGGAGCCTGTCAGGTCCGAGGAGGCTCCCCGTGCAGCTGCAATCATCAATCCGACCCCAGTACAGCCGGAACGGGGTGGGCCGGATGCTGATTCTGCGGTTCTTAGGAGGCTAGAAGAATTGACCGAACGAATCGAAAAGGGGGAGGAAAAGATCGAGGCCAACGATAAAAAAGTAGAAACATACAACTCCAGGGTCGACCAAATACCAGGTGCACCTCCGGTCCTGAAAGGCCTTGACGCTAAAAAGTTTGTACAAAAACCGTTCCCATCCAGTGCCGCCCCAAAACCTATCCCTAAGAAATTTAGAATGCCCGATATCCCGAAGTATAAGTGGGTACCGTCCGGAACCCAACGAACGCATGTGTACACATGCGCGATTAAGGGAAACGA